CATAGCTTGTCTTTTTTCTGATTCTTTTGACAAGAAATGATTAAGTTGCTTTTCATTCGAATTTTTTTTCCTGATTTAACACTTCATTTATGTGGACAGTGCAAGATCTTGACAAGGTTGAATTCTGAAAAGGTATCAAGTATGTTTAAGTAGATGATTCAATGATTGATATTGGTGAGATTCCAATTCTATTGGAATGGAATCACGAATTCCAATTCTGTTGGAATGGAATGACGAATTCCAATTCTGTTGGAATCACAGAAGTTGATGCTTGAAGAACAGACCACAAAATTGAAACGGACCACATTATTCTTTTAGAATGTATTAGTCGTTGTTAGATTTTAATGTTTTCTTTCCCGTTTTGATTGTTTTTTAGTTTTATTCTTTAACAATAAATTTAATTCTTAACAATTGTTACCCGTATTCTATAAGAAATAATGTATTTTTTGTTTTTATTCTTCAATTGATTGTTTAAGAATTTGTTATTCTACTAGAAGTTTTTAAATTCATGATCAAGAAATAGGTTCAAGAATATTTTTATTATTTATGGTTCAATAATATTTTTATTTTTGAATATACTCATAAACATATTCTATCAGAATGTCCGAATTAAAAGAATTATAATTCGTAAAATCGGATTTTTAAAATTAATAGAATCTATGATCCCTTAAAAAATACAATTTTCCTTTATTAAATCTATATTAATTGACTAAATTACCCTTGTAATTAATTAAGATGATATTTTCAATTATATTTAATTCAATAATATATATTAATCACTTTCTTCAAATAAGTAGTTTGAATAGAATAACCTAAGCCTATATATATATATATATATATATAATAATATAGATATATATATATATATATATATATATATATATATATATATATATATATATAATTATATATATATGGTCCGAATCCTGTAGAAACCCAAAAATTGGTAGGAAGCACGATGCCTATTCTCCACCAATCATTTTGCCAATGACACAAACGTCAAACTAATTTACTTGGTCGTGACATGTTCGCACGCGCATGGAACGTAATACAGACTCGAATGAATAATTATATGCGACGAACGTCCATGAAACATCATTTAAATGAGTTTTTTTTTCATTTATTTTGGTTTTTTCTTTTTTCTATTTTTTTTGTTACGTATTTTCCATTTTTATTTTTATTTTTATTTTTGTTTTATTTTTGTTTTTTAATATATTTTCTACACACGTGAAGATAGAAGGGATTTTTTTTATTATTTTAGATTTTTGTTTGCTTTTTTTTCGATTTTTTAAAATAAATATCAATTTGAGTTTTTAATGTTTAACAATTATAAAATTTTCAATAAGAAGAATATTAAGGATCATAATATTTTTGATTCATATGTTTCTTTTGAATCATATTATTTTTGGTCATAAAATTTTAAATTATAATATTTTGAATCATAACGATATTATGCATCATACATTATTGGATCATATTATTTTGGATCATTTTAATTTGGATCATAATATATTGAATTAAATAAAGTTTTTGTTCAATACAACATTTAGATCATTATATTTTTTAAATCATTTAATTTTGAATCATAAAAAATATTATAATTAAGGATCATTAAATACTTAAATCAAAATATTTTTAGATCATAATAAGTTAAAGATCATAAACATATTGAATCATAATATTTTTTAATCATAAATATTTTGAATCATCTCTATTTGCATCATATTATATTTAACATTGTTTAAAAAACTTTTAATCTTTTAAAATCAAGTTTGGTATCCAAAAGCATCTTATTTTTTTAAAAATTATTTTTACAAAGTCATTAGAATAGTGAATAGAAGTATTCCTTAAATTTTTATAATTTTTGGAGAATTTTTTTCTGGGTTTTTTTATAAATATAAAAATAAAAATATATATATTTTTTCAAATTTTCATGATTATGCTCATTTTGTACAGAATTAAATTTTAAGAGCTTAGTTATTTTAGATTATTTTTTTCAAAGAAAAAAAATATGGCTGAAAAACTAAGCGGTTGGAAAAAAACTCACCAGCCAATAAGGACTGGACACTTGTCATGTTGGGGCGGGACAAGTGTCAGCTCCTGGAAAGGGCATATGGCCGAACTTTCAATTTCTTTTAATCTTTTTGCTTTTGTCACTTGTACCCTCCAAACAATTAACTTTCCCGAGAATTATCAAAATCTCGCAATTAATTACGAAAATACCATAAAATCTTGCGAAATTTTAACGATAAATAAAATCAAATGTTGACCATTTATTTTTTCAATCTTAAGGCCAAAAATTGTACTCGCGGTTCCTACCATTTTTTTAATTCCTACTTGTTCATATATATATATATATATATATATATATATATATATATATATATATATATATATATATATATATATATATAGATATGTATACATATATATATATATATATATAAAAGTAGGTTCATGCGAAAACATATTTTATCTTATAAAAATCAAACAGATGTACTATAAAAAAATAAATTTATTAGCAATAAATTAAAGATAGTAAGTTTACATTGGATGATGTTATGGTAATATAGATTTAAAGACGGTTTCAATATATATTTTTTTCACGTCCTTAATCATTTTTAAATTCATGTTTTCATAATAAAAATGTTAAAAATCATACTTTGCTAATATGAAACAATTTCTCATCTATCATCGATTATCATAATGTATTTCAAAGTTTGGATGAATTATTTTCCAAAATATAATGTTGAGGTGACACAATATCATAGGTTTTTCTTGTTTTCGCGTTATATGGAAAATGAATGATTAGGGCAACACATATTTGAACCAATGAAAACATGACAACACATCACTTTAGGGTAACTACATAAATAACTTCCATAATACATTACTTGTCAATAAAAAAATGGACATGTGTCATTTGATTATTGGTTCCATCATATGTTGCCATAGTTTTTCGTTTTCCATAGAACTCATTTCTCTCTCTCTCTCTCTCTTTCTCTCTCTCTCTCTCTCTCTATATATATATATATATATATATATATATATATATATATATATATATAGAGAGAGAGAGAGAGAGAGAGAGAGTCAAGGGAAGAGGCATTTGTTAGTGAGTTTGGTCAACCAATGTGGTGTTGGTTCTTGTATGTTCCGTTCGTAAGCAAAACAATCTTGTTCCTAAGTTTGTTGCTAATATTTTACTACCACTTTTCCTTTTGCGCATTAGGTGTACACTATAAAATTATTTTTGGAATTAATTAATGGATAGATTTACATGTACGCATGAAACATAAGTTTTCGTTAATATTAAAACATGCCAATGAGAGTGGTTTTGTTGTATTGCATGACCTCTTAACCGCCACCGACCCCATTCTTGCCCATAATCTTTGCGATTTTTCCCCATTCATTAATATTTTAAAAAGAGCAGCACTGAACTATCTATGGTAAACAAACATAAGTTACAGTTATATTTTTTTTATAATACTTAATTTCTTTCAAAAAAAACAGGGTATTTATGTTAATATATTATCGTTTATTTCACCAACATTATGCAACTCCAATATTCACGTTACAATTTTATACTTCACAATATCCATTTGATCTTCAATTGTGTTACCACATATCCTTTTACCATTTCTTGTTATATCATTTTTTTTTATTTGTAATGAACGTTATAAAGTCTATGTTAACTTCGAGAGAATTTCATCTTTATCTTTATAAACTTTTATAATTACGCCTATATGCAGGGACGGACGCAAGAATACATAGTAGGTGTTGCTGGGATGAATAGGTGTTGCCGATACATGAAAAATAGGTAAAAAAAATCGAAAAATCAAAAAAATTTTCCACTGCGGTCAGAAAAGTTAGGGGTTGTGGATGCCACACCGGGAACCCCTTAAAACCGTACTTGCCTATATCTTTATAAAAATTTAAAATTACATATATATATCCTAATAAAACCAACACTCACATATATCCAAATATTTAATTTAATCATATTTAATATATTAAAAAAACACTATCCTAAAATTGATTTTTTTATTATTAAAAAAATAATCAACCTGGAACATTACAATATTATCTTTATTCCAAATTTTAATTTTGGACCTAATCACTTCATGAATCCTTACAAAATATTGACACCCATATTGAAATTAGTTTTTCGTGATTTTACCCATAACTGAAGAACCAGAGAAAAAACAAAATTGTTTAGACGAAAATAATTACAAGTCTCGTAAATCGATTGTATTAGATAAAATATATTGTTTAGCAGTCAATTAAGAATATGCAATCATTGTGTTTCGCTAATTGATTATGTAAAATATAAAGCGACAAAAACTCAAGCCATGGATAAAAAGATCGATTACCAGAAGGACTGCAAACATTATATAAAATATAAATTGTCCAGTCAGGTCATGTCCTGTTAATCTAATATTATCGTGTCCAATTCCATCCGTTCTTGCGCAGCCAAACGCTATCTAAAAGTTTACATAATAGAAAAAGTCACCATGACAAATCAATAGACCGAAAAATGTTGCCAAGAAGAAAAAAGTCAAGGTTTTAAAAAGCTCGTCATGGCGCGCCATGGCTCCAAAGCTTGTATATTCCGCCAAGCTTTACCAAAATGCCGCATTAAGTCATATATGTATATAAAAATGAATAATAGTAAAAATACATATAAAAATACTAATTATATACAAAATTGTCGCCTTAAATTACGTCTTACAAAAGATGTGGCTCGCTAAGAATAAAAAAGACTTGAGGCTTGAAATTGCCGTAAAGTCACGATATATATCATTTAGAACTTTGGAAAAAATAAACAAAAGTCAAAAGTGCCAAAGATGGGAAAATGTTGTTAAATCTAAAAGATGAGGGGGTAAGTGTAAGTGTAATAATGGAATAAAAGAAGAATTACGTCAGTTTAATTAGGCCAACCGCCCCAACACCACCCCAACCATGAAACTCAGCATTCAACAATGAAAAGTTTCAAAAAGAGACGTTTGTTTCTAAAATGCGCGCCTGTATATATACATAAACCCTCACCTGTTCACCAAAATTCTAAAAAACGATAATCTTATCAATTGCAACAATGGAGGCTTCAAATTCTTCGATCAATGAAGCGTACTGGCCTCTCCCCTATCTTTACTCAACTTTCACGTCAATCTGGCTCGTTTTCGCTTCTTGCTGGATCATCAACACTTACATCAATCGCCGTTTTCAGGTTACGTCTACATTCAACTAGTTGATTACTATCGGAATCTTAAATTTGTATAGTAACTTTTTGATTAGAGCAGATCGATGCTATATGGTTTTGAAGTTAATTTTGTTTAATTGTTTGATTGTGCTGTGGTGATATTAGAGCAGGTGAACAATTTGCAGTGGACGCTTGCTTCAGTTCCTTGTGTTAAAGCTTTGCAACTTGCTTTTTCCTTTACCTTTTGGTATGTTTTCAAACCATCGATACTTAATCATGTATCTTATAAGAATTCGTAAATCTGAGCTTCTATAGTAGTATCTGGAGACAGTAATTACAGATCATAAAGTAGGGTTTACTGATTTAGCTATATGATGTTTGGAATTGGGATTATTGACTGCTAACTTGTTTCAAAATTGAAATTGATTTCCCCTAACTTTCCTATTGATTTCAACCCCTCTGTTTTGCTGAAAGGAAAGATTCGTAGTATTAATTTTTTTCCAAAATCATTTCAAATTGCTACTCTTGCAGGTATTCATGTTTTTATTACCAAACATGCTCTTTATGGATGTCATTTGGAGTTTATGTAACTGGATTGCTGTTTGAGACAGCTTCAATTGTATCATTTTTGCTAATTGCCCATGGCTACTCCATCACTTCTGAACGCCTTTCTATCCCTGAACGTAGAGCTATGGCTGTTCTTAGTTGTGTCTTCTATCTAATTCTTGTTGGCCACAGAGCTTCCATACCTTACTTCTCTGTAAGTTCACTTCACACTTCCAGCTTCTTAACATATATAATAATAACAACAATAACATTTCAGTTTTCAAGATGTTAATCTTTCGAATGTCATATCATGCAGATCCTTCTGGTGCTTGACTATTTGCTCATATTCTTTGTGATATTTCATCATATAACACAAAACTTATCACTCCTACGTCATCAATTGACTTTTATAGAAGATGAAGATGTCCAAGAAATGCATGATGCTGTGTACACCAAATACCTCATGTTCAAGTATGCACTTCCAAATTCCCATAAACCATTCATGGCATTAACAAAACACTTAGTGTAGTAACTGAAACCATTTCTGACTTTTTTCTTTTCTTCTTCACAGGAAATTCAAAGGTGCTATGCACATTGTTGCTATAGCAGAAACAGCGGTGAATTTCTTTACTTAATATTTTATGATTATTAGTTTTGATTGTTGAAAAACATTAGTTCAACATATATATGAATTTCAGATTTTCATGAGCATGGATAGTTCTGTGGATACCTATTGGATGAAGTTGCTAGTTCGTGAATGGGCACATTTCTGTATCTTTCTTTATATTGGGTATGCAAAAAATGGTTTTTTTTAATGATTTTCTTATTTAAAACAATACTAATATATAATTCTCCAATTATAACAGATGGATTTTTAGGTCACAAGATTTGGCACCAAGGTTCTCTGTTATGCCAACTCACAAATCCAAAAGAGATAGAATTGTTCCTCCAATCTACAGCATTGTAAGTTCATATTTCTTTAAACATAATAACATTATATTTAACTATTAATAAATAATTGATACAATTATGTTATTTTTAGGAACTGGATGCAGAATCTTTTAAAGATTTTGGTAGCCATGAATGGCAAATTGGAGTGGTAAGTGGTTTTTAAATGATTAAATCTTGTTGCATGCATACATTTGATTTAATTTCTATCTTTATAATTGATGATGGATCATTGTATTGGTAGCCAACTTCTTCTGATGACAAGATGATGAAGGAGTCGATTATTGTAGTGATTCAACATCCGCATGCGTGTAGGCCAATTTAATCAACTCTGAATCGGGAATATCTTCTCCAAAAGCTCACATATAGGAAGGACTTCATATTTATGGCGTAAAATATTACTTGTGGTTTTGTGTTTAAATCATAGGTAATTGTATAATGTTAGATATATAGAGACAAACAAACAGATATGAGAATATAGCAATATGTAACCAATCATTTATGATTGTGCTATAGTATGGTATCAATATAAAATTGTAAATAGTTTCTAGTTTTTCATTTACATCCATTTGAGACTATTTAACAATAGAACTTAAATCCCATCAAGTTGTGGGGTAAAGGGGGAGGATAGATGTACACATTCTTACATCCACATGAGGGTGGAAAGACTGCTTACATAGGAGATCTCTGGCTTGTAGAAGTTCATGCCAAAAGTAATAGCGCCTAAAAGACGAAACTGAAATAGGATACCAATACTAGAAATGGTAATAATATCCATATGTGAACTATATAAGATGTTAATATTGAACTATGCATAAAAATAGTGTAATTAACCGTGGGTTAAATGCTACTTCATGACCCTAATTTTTGTTATAATTGATCTATCGTATGTCCACCGTGACATCCTCATTTCTAGAGCTTCCATTATCCTCTCATGCACCTTCTTTGACATTGGTGCCATACAACAAGGTTGCCTAACTAACATTTTGTAGAAGTTCCCTTTCAATATCAATGAGACCTTATCTCACATTGTGATTTAACATCTTCCTTCAATGACATGGGCAATATCTTCACTTACTTACCCTTCCTTGTGTATCATAGACTCTGAGTATTTGAACCTCTCAGATGGGTGTAGTACTCCCTCCATTCATGTAACACCCCAAATTTTTTTCAAACTTTAAAATGTTATGGTTTTAAGAACATTCGGGTGTTAACCCACATTTAACAAAAACCAGTCCCACAAAACATTTACATATTTAAAACATTGGGTGTTACCATTAAGCATCAATACAACCATAGCAAACAAATAAGAATTACACCAATACAATTAACAAGGAACTTAACAAGTTCCACTCCATTCTCTATTACTTGACTTATAACTTCTATCTACCATTCTCTATCCTTAAGTGTAACCTGAGATACATGACATTAAAAAGAGATACGTAAGACAATAATGTCTCGTGAGCTGCATGGGTTTGTGACCCAAAACATTTATCATCTTTTCATTAAAAACGTTTCACCTTTGCAAAACATAGTTTTCGACCATAAATCAGTTTCAAGCATTTTCAAGGAAAACTCGTTTTGTACACATCATAAAATATCATTTCATTTCATTTCAAAAGACACATTTTCATATTCCTTTTTATTTTATCATTAAGAGCTAATTTTGGTATTAAACCATTGCCATTTTTATACTTAGGGTCTACGTCCAATAAAGGAACAACTCTCAAGTCTAGACCAAGGTGGAAAGAACAAATCAATCCACCCAGACATCATTTCCGTTAGGACATCTATCTCGCGAAGGGGAGGCACCACCCCGATAGATTCCTCTAGTGTCTCTTACGAGGTATCATGGCCCGGACAATTTTTATTTCATTACTTTCCAATTCTTTTCATTACTTTCCATTCCTTTTCATTACTTTACATTTCTTGTCATTACTTTCCATGTTTTACACATTTCATACATTAGTATCATAAATTCATTTCAAAAGTAAAGCATCTATATTTCAAAACATTTCAAACACATTTTCAAAACATTCAATCTTCCAAAGCGTTCTTTTCTTTCAAAAACATTCTTGCCTTCAAGGTACTCTTTCAAAATACCCTTTCCAAAAAAAATTAACGTTTTCATTCCAAAACATTTCATATATCAAAGCATTACATTTCATTATGATAAAATCATTTTGCCATGTACCCAAAAGTGGGAAAAATGCCAACATGTACTCACCTCAATCACACATAGGTTAGCTACTCCTCTTCTACTTCTTTTCCTTAGAGCAACACTTCCAATCATCATCTATATAACATGGACATGAATCATTAAAATGATCAAAATACCCCTCATATGTTCCATTACTAAATTTTATTGTTTCATCTCATTCCTTATGTAAAAATATGAACGTACGTGAAAACCACGCGTAAATCCGAGTCTGTATGCAAAAGTTATGAAAACATTACATGACATTGATCAAGGCATTCCACGCCCGTGGAATGATTTGCCTTGCCATTCCACGGTCGCGGAATGAGGTCTGCACACACAAAATTCTTGAATTTTCTCAATATAACGCCCTACTTTGCATAGTTCTTGAAGACCCTTTTCCCATTCACTTTGTACCATTTATTTGGGTTCTCACACATGTTTAGGAGGTGTTTTATCATATTAAAACACTCTACTTAATCCACTAAGTGCTCATTGAAACCTTTATGATCATATAAATCCTTAAATTCCATAGGAAGGGTTAACTTGTCCATTGATCAATTAGGTTTTTTAAAATTACAAAGCTTGTTCCCAACTTATTGAACACTAAAATTTAATGTTGTCAAGTACATCAAACCTTCATTAATCTCATTGTAAGTACGTAAACTAACCATGGAATCCTCAATTCCATTCCATGTTTCCCAAATTGCACTTTAGGCCAAAACAATCACTAAAACCAATTATAGATCAAGAGATCATTGATGTTTATGTTCCAATTCCATCTCTAGAGTGTTAATTCATGTTCATGAATGTCATTCACTTCTTATATGTCAATCATTATGTGGTTATCAAGAGATTTCCAAAAATGCCTGTATGGCCAATAATTCCATGTATCCATCAAGGAATCACGTAACACCTTATGTTTTGAATCCAATTCATTCCAAGAGTATCCATTCATGATTATGAACTCTCTTTACCCATCAAATGACCAACTACAAAGGATTCTATTGATTTCATCATATTGTCCCAAATCCATTTCAATCCACGCTTATACATGATTTTACCATCATGGATGAGTTTGAGAATTCCCATTGGATTTTTTGTTTCCAAACTTCATCTAGGTCACTAAATCCATTCCAATCTAACATACAAACATGAAATGCCTAATTTGGATTTCTAGGGTTCATGAAGGTTTTCATCCAAATCCTTAAATCCATCAATAGGATGATTGGATTGAGGTTGGGATCATCAAAACAACTCAAGGGAGGTTAGAAAACCAAACCCTAACCATCATAAAAATCTAAAATCTACATTGGGGTTCAACCCCAATTATGAACACGAAAATAGAGTTAAAGGAGGAGAGATTATACCTAAAAGCCTTTGATTCAACTTTCTTTTGCTTGGATGCTCAAATCTCTACTTGAATCAATACTAGAAGTCCTTGAGAATCAAAATAGCCATTAGCTCTCTCCCTTTCTCTCAATCGTGTTCTTCCCAAGCAAATGGGAGAGAAGACCTATTAACTAGCTCTAAACTTTCTCAAGTTGTCACTTTTGGTCCCTCCTTGCAAAAGGTCTTTCAAAGTAACTCCAAACTAACTTAGAAGCTTCAAATAACTTCCAAAATGGTCCCTCTCCATCCTAATTGTAACACTCGTGTTTCTAGCCTAAGCATTAATATTAAGGTGATAGTCTAGGTTAACCTTTGTAACTCATTTTGAACAAATGAAAAAGGAATTATGTGAATTCTATGTGTTTTATGCTTATTTACTAGAAGTTAATTAATTAAAAATAAAAATGAGCGTCGAAATTAAATTTTAGATAAAGCCGATATCTATTAAGAAAGTTGTAGTGGTCGTGACAAGGATTACGGATATATAAAGAATGCCGAAATCCGAGTTATAACGAAGAAGTTATGACATGTCGAAGTTTCACGACAAAACCGGCTTGATGCTGAATGTCGTAAAAAGTGAGTTTTTGATAAACTACTTTTTAGCCTTAGTGATCTAAACGAAACTCGTAGTGTTCATTAAACCGAGAGTAGGTATAAAAAGAACACCCAAATCTGACTTCGTATGAGGAAGTTATAATTTTTCGAAGTTTCAGCTTAGCAGTAAACAGCTAAAAACTCGAATTTTAGATCGAGTGATTTTTAGCCTACACGACCTAAACGAGAATCGAAGGTCTCATAAATAGTAGCACAACGGTAAAAAGTCTGACGAAAACGGACGTCGGATGAAGAAGTTATGAATTTTTAACGGATTTCCTGTCCTGGTCTGTTAAAAATAATAATATAAAAATTAAACTCAAAATTAGCTGACGAAGTCTAAACGGAAGTTGTAGAGCGTAATTTTACCTACGCGTGCATATAAAGAACGTCAACAACGGAGCTCGTATGCAAAAGTTATGGATTTTAGAAGTTTTTGCACAAAAACCGAGAAAATTCGCATAGTCACGATTTGCCACGTCACCCTCGCTTAGAACGTGCCACGTGTCCGAAATGGGTGAGTCAAGCGAGCCACGTGTCCGAGCTGCTAAGTCATCCGAGCACCTGATCTGATCCGTGGTCCAATAGCGGTGCGAGCACGAGACCGAACCCTCGCAGCATGCCACAGAGGACTGGTCCAATCAAGAGGACAGCGAGGCCTTCGCAGTGCAGCCACCTGCGACCCTCGCCTGCGGACCCCACCACCAGAACCACTTCGGACCCCTATAAATAGAAGGGTCCTGCGAGCCTTCTCGGGTACTTTTGGGATTTCGCCTGCGGACCCCGAAGCCCCGGTATCGATTATAACCCCTGGAATACGCCACGAAGTGCCCGTGAAGCCCGGAAAATTTATCTTTTCGATTTCGAAGCCCGACCTTTGCAGAGCCCGGTTTCTCAATAAAACTCCCGGTTATATTAGAAACGAACGTTTTAGGAAACGAATTGCTGCCCGATTATCATCGAATCATGTGAGTGTGTAGTTACTTTCAATTTACACATATATATGAAGTATTTACTATAAAATACGTGTTATGTGTAAATATGTTAATTGTTTATTTGAGGTGACTGTTGAATTGATGTTTTATACAAGTTTTAAACTGTATATGTATTTTATCTACAAATATGTTGGGTAGAACATGGGTAGACAAAATAGTCGGTGGGTGTTAAAATGATGAGAGGCCTCGTTGTCGGTGTTGTTGTTGGTGTTGTTGTAGTCGTCTAGCGGAGTATATATGACGATCACGGACCTTTCTAGACAGTCCAGTGGTACACTAGCAAGTTCG